TCACCCTACTCACACAACCTCCAAGACTCCTGGGCTAAAGCAATATGCTTCTGTCTCACCCTCCCGAGTAGCTGGAAATTACTAGGCATGACACACCATGCTGACTATTTTTATTTTTTTTTTTTTGAGACATGTCTCGCTTTTTGCCCAGCTAGAGTGAGTGCCCGTGGTGTCAGCCTACTCACAGCAACCTCCAATCTCCTGGCTCAAGCAAATCTACTGCCTTCAGCCTCCCGAGTACTGACTACAGGCATGGCTCACGCATCCTGGCAATTTTTCCTCTAATATTTTAAAATTATTTTTATTTTGAGACAAATCTCACTCTGTTCCCGGGCAAGGAGTGCCATGGCTTCGCCTCGCTCACAAACCTCAGAACTCCGGCTCAACGATCTAACGCTCAGCCTCCCGAGTAGCTGGAACAAGGCATTGCCACCCATGCCCGGCGGCTCATTTTTTTTCATAATTATTAGTTAGCCAATTAATTTCTTTCTATTTTAGAAGATGGGGTCTTGCCTTGCTCAGGCTGGTTTCGAAACATCTAACCTGAGCATCGCCTGCCTTAAGCCTGCACAGAGTGCTAATCACCATGTGTGACCCACCGCGCCCACCGATTTTTTCATTTTATCAGTCTATTTTCCTCTAAATACTTTTGTATTACACCGTTCTTTCATATCCCATTTAATTGTGAACAGTAAGTTAGTAGAAAAATTTGAGGCCAACATAAATATGAAATAATGTTTCACACATACATTTTTTTTTAAATCCAAACAGGATGGTCCAGATTCCTGTCAACCAAATGGTACCACAACCTTGTTGAATATGACTCAGATAGAAACCTACATCCTTGTACACATAAATGTACATTGCCCACTTCTTGATCCTGAGTTGGGAAATTCATCTAAGCTATCACCTGAAAGCTCACAGTCTGAAATTTCACTGAGACACTCAACTCACCCATCCATCGTATAGTCTTGAATGCTTCCATCCTGTGGTGAATCTTGCATCATCCTCCTGATTTGTCTAATTAGTGGAATCTTCCCTGTAGAAAGAAAGAAAGAAAGAAAGAAAGAAAGAAAGAAAGAAAGAAAGAAAGAAAGAAAGAAAGAAAGAAAGAAAGAAAGAAAGAAAGAAAGAAAGAAAACTGGGTCCAACTGATACTGAGAGTACAATAAGGGTTAGGGTCTCCAATTTTAGTTTTAGTACTACTTAAATACATACCTCTCCCAAGTGAAGATAAGAACTCAAGACCAGAAAGAGTTGTATTATCTTTACAAAAGTAACAAAAGGTATTAAAAAAAATTCAAATAGAATAATAGGCTTCTACTACTACCACTAGGAGAAAACTGGTTTTAAAGTTTGATATAACCTTCAAAATATAAACTATGTACAGCCAAACACATACACAGACATACGTCCACACACAGTTGGCTCTCCTGTTTATGTAAACACCACAAGATCACACTACGCACACAGTAACAGCTCTGCATCCTGATCCCCCGCTCAATAGATCAAGGCCCCTCTCATGCCCTGGTACACAGATGCACACAGTACGATACTCCCTCGGGTAAGTGTATCCATTTTTTTTTAACCATTTCCCTAGTGATGGACATTTAAGCTATCTCCTAGTTTCCTCCATTACAGTTAACTACAGCTATGACCGTCTTGCTTCTAATAGCTGAGACACTGAATAAAAGTCATCCTTTATTAGCACAACCCTTAGATTTAAAAACAAAACCAAAAAAATTCCATATCCTTTCCACACTCAGGGCCTTTGCACCTGCCCTCCCTCTCTCTGGGAATGCATGCACTGTTCATGCTCTTTGCTCACCCTTAGTCTCAGCGAAAATGACTCTTCTCCGGGAGGACTTCTCTAAACTCACCACTATTACTCCAACCTAGATATTTTATGTCCTCCTAACCCTTGCCACTTTTCCATCCCAGCAGCTCACTACACTATTTGATGACATTAATATTAATGTCTGTCACCTCCATCTGACTTCCATCTGACTGCCGGGGAAGTGACAGTGCTGGCTGTTTTTACCTCGGGACTCAGCACAATGGCTGCCATGAAGGAACCAGACCATCCCTGCCCTGCATGCAGAAAGTACTAGCTTTACTGGCTATCTTCTAGAGATGAATCAATCCAAGGTACAATCACATGCACTGACAATACTTAGATATGTGGTTCCTAAACTGTGACCAATCACTCCAAGAGCACATGAACAATAACACCAGGCCAGGCATGGTGGCTCACGCCTGTAATCCTAGCACTCTGGGAGGCCAACGCAGGCGGATTGCTCGAGGTCAGGAGTTCGAAACCAGCCTGAGCAAGAGCGAGACCCTGTCTCTACTAAAAATAGAAAGAAATTAATTGGCCAACTAAAAATATACATACAGGACGGGCACAGTGGCTCACGCCTGTAATCCTAGCTCTCTGGGAGGCCGAGGCGGGTGGATTGCTCAAGGCCATGAGTTCGAAACCAGCCTTATCAAGAGCGAGACCCCATCTCTACTATAAATAGAAAGAAATTAAAAAAAAAAAAGAAATTAATTGGCCAACTAATATACATATATAAAATTAGCCGGGCATGGTGGTGCATGCCTGTAGTCCCAGCTGCTTGGGAGGCTGAGGCAGCAGAATTGCTTAAGCCCAGGAGATTGAGGTTGCTGTGAGCGAGGCTGATGCCATGGCACTCTAGCCTGGGCAACAAAGTGAGACTCTGTCTCACAAAAAAAAAAAAAGAAAAAAAAACACATACAAAAAATTAGCTGGGCATGGTGGCGCATGCCTATAGTCCCAGCTACTCGGGAAGCTAAGGGCAGTAGGATCACTTGAGCCCAGGAGACTGAGGTTACTGTGAGCTAGGCTGACGCCATGGCACTCACTCTAGCCTGGGCAACAAAGTGAGACTCTGTCTCTAAAAAAAATTAAAAACAAAAAACCATAACAACAAAAGCAAAAGCCAAATTGCTGGGTCTTACCCTAGACCTACTGCATTAGAATCACATGGGTTGGGCCTAGGAATTTTTTTTAAAAAAACTTCTCAAGTGACTGTGATGCAAACAATCCACAAACCTGTGTTCAGCAATCATTTATCAACTGCTGGCTAGAAGGAACTGAGAAATACCCACACACCATGTGACTCCAATAAGATTAGTGCCAAAATCAAGTTTAAAAAAAAAAGACTCCAAAATAACTCAGATTATACTACCTTTTGTGTTTTAATAACTCTCACCACTTTAAGTTACAACCCAGTCTCTTTTATTTGGTTTTCAGTGAGCTCTGGAAACAGATCATCTTTGTTAGAATATGTGATTACACCAGAAAATGGAAACACAGCGTAACAAAAGAAAAACAAATCCCTCCTGTGCGGCCAGTCATGAAGCCACAGCATACCCTCCAGAGCTGAGTCGCCCTGGATGGCAGCTGGTTACAACGGACCTTAGCAAACACCCTACCCAGGGTCCACTCAGGTTCACACATCTCATCACACACGTCGCCCCCACTGTGCAAGATCTTGTTCTCTGTGAAACTGTTTCCTGGGAGGAATAGCCAAAGCTATCCAGGGATACGTTCAGGTGGCATTTCTTACTGTGATTAAACAGAATCATGAAATCTCAATGTTTTCAATGGGTTCTTTCTGGATCTTTGGTGACTACATTTGTGATAAGACTCTTCCATACCAAAGAGATTCACTAATGCTTTGGCCCCCTCAATGGCATGGAGTCACTGATTTCCTAAGAATTATTGATATATTCCCATTTAGTCACACAATATGAAAATCCTTTTCCTATCACAGTGGTTTTTTAAAACATGTCCCAATAAGAAACAAAATTAAAAAAAAGAAAAATGTAAAAAATAAAAAAAACATGTCCCCAAATTCTTTCACATTCCTCTGATCCAGAAGTGGGGTTCTCCACACTGGAAATGTACTAAAAGGCACTGAATTGTACACCTAAAATGGTTAAAATGGTGAATTTACGTTATGCAATTTTTACCTCAATTTTATAAAATAAATAAATAATGGGGTTCTATATATCTTTCCTTTGAATCTAGGCTCTGCTCCTGCTTCATCTACAGAATATGACAGAAGCAATGCTGTGATTTCTGGGCCTAAGCCTTAAGAAACCAGCAGCTGCCGGACGTAGCAGCTCATGCCTATAATCCTAGCATTTTGAGAGGCCAAGGGAGGAGTGCTTGAGTCCTGGAGTTCGAGACCAGCGTGAGCACCACAGCAAGACCCTGTCTCTACAAAAAAATTTAAAAATTAGCCAGGCGTAATGGTGCATACTAGTAGTCTCAGCTACTTGGGAGGTTGAGGCAGGAGAATCCCCTGAGCCCAGGAGTTTGAGGTTTCAATGAGCTATGACTGTGCCACTGCACTCCAGCCTGGGCAATGAAGCAAGATCCCATCTCAAAAAATAATAATAAAATAAAAAGGAAGGGGGTAAGGGAGGAAAGGAGGAAGAAAGGAAGAAACTGGCAGCCTCTTCCATTTCCTATCTTCCAGAACACTCACTCTTCGAACCCAGCCACCATACCATGTATAAGCAGTCCTCACATAGGTCCACCAAGAGAGGAACGGAGGTCCCTGGGCCAGAGCCCCAGCTGAGCTCTCAGCTGCCAGCCAACACCAACATGTCAGCCACATGAGTGAGCCACCTTTAAAGGAGATCCTCCAGCCCCCCGCAGAGCCATCTCAGCCAAAGCCATGTGAAACGAAGATAAGCTACACCTGCCAAACCCTGCCTTAATTGCAGATTCGGGAACAAAACAGATGACTGAAGATGTTTAAATCATCACTAAGTTTTGCGATGGTTTGTTATGTAGCAATAGATAACAAGCATTTGATAACTAGCAATAGATAACAAGCATAGAAAACAGCTTCAGAAAATTCTCTGACCTGGTACCATAAATCACAGCAGACTCTGATAAGCATAACCTTTAGCACTAAAGAATTCATCCACACATGTTCTTCACAGCTCAACTGAATCACAACCTTTCTAACATGTTCACACCATATTATGTCATTCAAAACTATGCCACAGAGTGAAAAAGAAGGCATCTGACTTTCTTGCTAAGAAATTTAAAAAGGAAAAAGGGGAGAAAAGCAAGGTAGTTACAGAGTACAAAATCCTGTGTAGGCTATCAAATAATAGCAATTACGGACAACTGTCAATGCACCTTTCTAGAAAACATAACTTGAGGTGATGTCCTTCCTCCCACCCTACTGGAAGTGCCATGAAGCCTCAGCTCTGTTCTCTCCTTACCTCCAGCCTCTCAGGCGGGGGCTCATTCTGCAGGATCCTCAACGCTTTAGCAGCAGCATCATGTTTCGCAGCCTGTCTTGTCTTTCCTTTCCCATTAAATTGCTGTCCTCCCACAGAAAGTTCGACTTGATAAAGTAAAGGTGGAACTGGAAATGGGTAAAAGTACCTAAAAAGAAAAAGGTGTTAGGAAAATTATAGGCTGGTAAGTTACCCATACATTTCCTGGCAATCCAGGCATTTCCTTCATCATGGTCCTAATCACATTAGGGTTTGCTTGCTAGTAACAACTCATCAATATATCTAAAGATTTCATAAAAGTTTAAACTGGATTAGAATTGCTACACAGTATAAGCAAATAGTATTTAGCAATTCAAATTTATATTGCACAAAATACAGTGGCTTATAAATTATGAGTTCAATTTATAATGCTAACCTATACTGACAAAACCTAAAACAGATCAGGCTTTGGCTGAGACAGAAACTTGATTTGCTACCTTCTGAAACCTTAGATTTGTATTTGCATGTCTCCAATAAGAGGCTGGGAATTTTAAAGCGTAAGTCTTTTCGAAAGGACCCTCATTTCTAGAAATCCCAACAACCTATATAACCTAGCAGAGCCCAGTTTCTTACATTTCAGAGTTTTTATATTTTTTTTTCTTTTTTTGAGACAGTCTCGCTCTGTTGCCCAGGCTAGAGTGCCGTGGCGTCAGCCTTGCTCACAGCAACCTCAAATCCCTAGGCTCAAGTGATCCTCCTGCCTCAGCCTCCCAAGTAGCTGGGACTACAGGCATGTGCCGCCATGCCCAGCTAATATCTTCTACGTATTTTTAGTTGTCCAGCTAATTTCTTTCTATTTTTAGTAGAGGCAGGGTCTCGCTCTTGCTCAGGCTGGTCTCGAACTCCTGAGCTCAAATGATCTGCCCTCCTTGGCCTCCCAGAGTGCTAGGAGCCACCGCACCTGGCCCAGTGTTTATATTTTAAAAATGGCTCTGGCCCCCGTAAGGAGAGCAGAGAAATGAAGACTTCCATTTTAATCATCAATCTATCCACGAATGAATGGCTTATTATCGCCAGCAGGAGGTTGTCAACATATGGCATTTTCAGGTTTAAATTAATATTTTACTATACCCAAGACTATTTATAAAGCACAAGTTCAAAAGTCAAAAAGTACCCAATAGGCCGGGCGCGGTGGCTCACACCTGTAGTCCTAGCTCTCTGGGAGGCCGAGGCGTGCGAATTGCTCGAGTTCAGGAGTTCGAAACCAGCCTGAGCAAGAGCGAGACCCCGCCTCTACTATAAATAGAAAGAAATTAACTGGCCAACCAAAAATATATACAAAAAATCAGCTGGGCACGGTGGTGCATGTCTGTAATCCCAGCTACTTGGGAGGCTGAGGCAGGAGGATCGCTTGAGCCCAGGAGTTTGAGATTGCTGTGAGCTAGGCTGACGCCATGGCACTCACTCTAGCCTGGGCAACAAATCGAGACTCTGTCTCAAAAAAAAAAAAAGTACCCAATAAACAATAATCAGGAAATCTACATATGCTGAGAATCATGATGTTGAGGAGTCATGTTCAAATACAATTCAGTTGCACAAAGCAGTTACAAGGGTGATCTTTAATCAGGCTGCCTGGGAACACGAGCCACACTACTAAGTGAGGAATATGCTCAAACACATTGCGACAGTAGTTAAGAGCACCAAGACACAGTTCCAAAGGCACAAGCACAATTAAGACCAAATCATTACTCGCTCCACAACCAACAGGTATTATTCTATATAAAAGATCAGCTATATTTTCATCTTTATTGTACAAAAAACCAAAACTCACACGTACCTCGGGGGATAAGCACCTCCTCTCATGTTGTAGTTATAGGTGGACTGCATCCGAGAGTAGGGGTCAACAGGCTTATACATTGGTTTTTTTCCAAGTTTCATGCACAGTGCATTTAGCTCTACGGTAGGGGTTATGCTTTCTGCAAGAAAGAATCAACATAAAGAACTACTTTTTTCTGATATGAGAAAGATGATCTCTAAAATCAAAAAGATTTCTGTTGGCTGGTCCGAAGGTAGTGAGTTATCTCACGTGATTGTTCACAGTCAGTTACAGATTGAACTCCTTGTTCTACTACTTTCCCCCCTCCTCACAACTGCACTTGACTAGTCTTAAAAAATAAATAAATAAATAAATAAATAAATAAATAAATAAATAAATAAATAAATAAATAAATAAAAAGATTTCTGTTAATTGAACTTGTGATGCAGTACATTAAAAGGACCTGAGTACGTCACTGCTAGGCATCAGATCAGGAAATCCAAGAATCTGCTGTGGCGCGGATTTCTCGATATTAAAACACAGTCAACAGCACAAAATCTACCGTAAGGACTATTAGAGGGAGCAACAATTTAACCTAAGATATTACCAGTGAAAGCCATTCAGAACGGTTGTCGGAAATAAGTTCCAATGTACATCAAATTTTTCACAGTTAAAAAATCCCATGTGATGGCCCAAATTGTTTGAGAATACTTAAACAATATAACCTATTTCCTAGGTTATTGTCTTACACTCAGAAGTATATGGTACACACCACTTATTGCACAATGCATTTATTCAGTGCTAACTGGATACAAAACATTGTGCTGAGCTTGAGGGACACAATTCCTGCCTGAGAGAATTTCAAAGAACACAGAACACAAAGAATTATAATACAATGGGATGTGTAACATAAGGAAAGGTGTAAAAATCACTGAAGAGGCATGCAAATTCTATTTGGAGAAATCAGATAAGGCACACAAAATATTCAGATATTTTCATTCTTGACATTTATAATGAGATTTGGCCTGTGGTAATACTTGTTATGAAAATAAGTTCCATTTTCATATGCAAGAGGTTATCTCAGCTTAACAACTTTAGAAAATACACACTATTCATTTTCCAATTTTTTTTTCTTTTGGTTCATCTAATTTATAAATCTTTACAAATGACTTTCAAAAAATCAGCCTCTCCTGAGATATTTCATTTAGGAGGGGAAAAAAAAAGCAAAAGATAATTAGCCTCAAAAGATTAGTTTCAGTGCACAATCATGTTTAAAAATATTTTCAGAGGCTGAGGCAGGAGGATCACTTGACGCCAGGAGTTCAAAACCAGCCTGGGCAACATAGCGGGACCCTGTATCTAAAAAAAAAAAAAATTTAGGGCCAGGCATGGTGGCTAACCCTGTAATCCTAGCACTCTGGGAGGCCAAGGCGGGAGGATCGATCAAGGTCAGGAGTTCAAAACCAGCCTGAGCAAGAGCAAGACCCCGTGTCTACTAAAAACAGAAAGAAATTAGCCAAGCTAAAAAAATAGAAAAAATGAGCCGGGCACAGTGGTGCGTGCCTGTAGTCCCAGCTACTCGGGAGGCTGAGGCAGAAGGATTGCTTGAGCCCAGGATTTTGAGGTTGCTGTGAGCTAGGCTGATGCCATGGCACTCTATCCGTGGCAACAGAGTGAGACTCTATCTCAAAAAAGAAAAAAATGTTTTAATTAGCCAGGTGTAGTGGCGCATGCCTGTAGTCCCAGCGACTCAAGAGGCTGCAGCAGTATTGCTTGAGTCCAGGAGTTCAAGGCTGCAGTGAGCTATGACTTTGCCACTGCACTCTAGCCTGGGCAACACATTAAAACCCTATCTCTAAAAAAAAAAAAAAAAAAAAAAAAAAAAAAAAAACAACAACACTTTGATATCAAACACAGAACAATACTAGCAATGGCAAAATTCAACTTAAATGCACACAAAAATCCACTTTAAAATGCCCTGTTACGATGTATGTAGAAAGAAATAAAAATAACTTGGTTCAGAGTTACTATAATTGGTTCAACTAAATTTAGTGCATGAATCAAATTTATAAGAATATCTTTAGGGTTTGTACAATCGGAGGGCCACATGAGTTACCAGTCTCTCTCTTGCTCGCATTAAAATTATATTTTTTGCATAATTCACATAATTGCATTTTAAATACAGTCTGAAATTTTAGTTCTTTGTTTTTTTGAGACAGGGTCTGGTTCTGTTGCCTGGGGTAGAGTGCAGTGGCATGATTGATCACAGCTCACTGCAACCTCAAACTCCTGGGCTCAAGCAATCCTCATGCCTCAGCCTACCGTAGCTGGAACTACAGGTATGCACCACACTTGGCTAATTTTTTTTAATTTTTTTGTCTTGCTATCACCCAGGCTGGTCTCAAACTCCTGGCCTGAAGCTATCTTCCCACCTCAGTCTCCCAAAGTGCTAGGATTATAGGCGTGAGCCACACTCAGCCAGCCTGAGTCATTTTAAGAGAACCTCTGACCCACAGAATTTGTCTACAGTAGACAACAAATATGAAGTATACAACAAAGAATTCAAAAGCAAAAAGAAAGGTGTGACCAAGACCTTTCCAGATTCACTCTGCATACCAAGGCCTGGAATGACTTCAGGCACCTGACGGGGGGACCCCTGCTAAAACAGCCACTCCTGACATAGCCTTCAGGTCCGTAGTCCCCAACCCTTCACCAGACACATTGCTTAATTAGTATTCTCCTTCCTTGGTCTTCTGTTTGAAGTGATATTACCTACTTTTATATTTCAGTAATTAATATTTACATTTCATCATTCTTTTTAATGATCAGGAGACATATAACTGAAAATCAGCACTTCTAACCAACAAAGTATAATCAACATTACCCACACTGACTTGACATGATTCCACCTAAAACTTATATTCCTGATAATCTCTACAACTTTATCAAGGAAAAAGATGTACTTCAATTAAGCCTTTCTGAAATCTTAGAAAACATTTGGTAACACCCCACCCTTCCTATGACCACTTTTCCAGATTGCCAGGAGTTGAGGGACAGTAGACTGGGAACCACTGCTTCAGAGTGAAATTAAGGTTCACAAAAGATAAACATCTGCCACTGATAGTGTACAACCTATGCTTTTGACATCAGTTAAGAAATTATTCATATAAATTCTGAATGTATACCCCTAGACACACTTTTGAAAAGAACCTATCTTAGCCGGGCGCGGTGGCTCACGCCTGTAATCCTAGCTCTCTGGGAGGCTGAGGCGGGCGGATCCTTTGAGCTCAGGAGTTCGAAACTAACCTGAGCAAGAGCAAGACCCCGTCTCTACTATAAATAGAAAGAAATTAATTGGCCAACTAATATATATAGAAAAAATTAGCCGGGCATGGTGGCGCATGCCTGTAGTCCCAGCTACTCGGGAGGCTGAGGCAGCAGGATCGCTTGAGCCCAGGAGTTTGAGGTTGCTGTGAGCCAGGCTGACGCCACGGCACTCACTCTAGCCTGGGCAACAAAGTGAGACTCTGTCTCAAAAAAAAAAAAAAAAAGAACCTATCTTGGCCCATGCATAATCCATGGATTCCTTCCCTTGTTACGAAAAGGGAGAGCTATGGGCTTAGGAGATTGTGTTTCTTCCAAAGCTTTGGCAACAGCTTTATGTTAACCTTTTTTTTTTCTTGCTATTTTGAGATAAGGTCTTGCTCGGTTGTCCAGTCTAGAGTGCAATGGTGTGATCATAGCTCACTGCAGCCTCGAACTTTTTAAATACTAATTCATTTGATTTACCAGTGCAGATTTCCAAGTGTTAGCTGTACGGTAAATACCTACAAATCCAATGTGTGAGCTCTCAATTCATGGAACCTGATGTCAATTGTAGTAAGTCAATTGGACCTTGAACACTTTTTAAAGTCATGGCCTAAGAGGCCTAGTCACTATCTTGTAATTTATCTTGTCACCCCTTTTTACTTTGTTGTTTTTATAAACAAACAAAAAAAAAAGATTATGTATCCAGTGACAAACACTGGAAACTCTTCCAATTACTTCTCATGAAAGATATTTTGCAAACTTGATTTTAGACACATTAAGACAATGTTTGTTTGGATGCTGTTATGTGTTTACAGACTCTTGTCTAAAAACATAACCTCCTCTTCTGGGAGGCCGAGGTGGGTGGATCGTTTGAGTTCAGGAGTTCGAGACCAGCCTGAGCAAGAGCAAGCCCCCGTCTCTACTATAAATAGAAAGAAATTAATTGGCCAACTAATATATATAGAAAAAAATCAGCCGGGCATGGTGGTGTGTGCCTGTAGTCCCAGCTACTCCGGAGGCTGAGGCAGTAGGATTGCTTAAGCCCAGGAGTTTGAGATTGGTGTAAGCAAGGCTGACGTCACAGCACTCACTGTATTCTGGGCAACAAAGTGAGACTCTGTTTCAAAAAAAATAAAAATAAAAACATTACCTCCTTAGGACAAGTTTGGGAATGTCGGCTTGGTTCTAAAATGTTGTTCAGACATTGCCTCCACATTCAGATGAAAAATCAGATCCACAGCAAGCAAAGATCTCAAAGTGTTTCTGAACTCAACTCAAAGGAGGCATCCAAACAGCTTCTTTCCTCCTTTTTAAGGTAACCCAGTGTACATCTCCATTCTTTTTTTTTTTTTTTTTGAGACAGAGTCTCACTTTGTTGTCCAGGCTAGCGTGAGTGCCATGGCTTCAGCCTCACTCACAGCGACCTCAAACTCCTGGGCTCAAGCAATCCTACTGCCTCAGCCTCCTGAGTAGCTGGGACTACAAGCATGCGCCACCATGCCCAGCTAATTTTTTTTTCTATATTAGTTGGCCAATTAATTTCTTTCTATTTATAGTAGAGACAGGGTCTCGCTCTTGCTCAGGCTGGTTTCGAAATCCTGACCTTGAGCAATCCGCCCACCTTGGCCTCCCAGAGTGCTAGGATTACAGGCGTGAGCCACCCCGCCCGGCCTAAAAGGGAAATTTTAAAGAATCCTTGATCCCCCTTGAAACATCAGGGATCTTCCATGTAAGTTCTGCAGTTCACAAGGTTATTCATTTAAGTACCGACAGCATGAACTCAAAACTCAGGCGAGCAGGGAAGTCAAACCACAGAAGCCCACAATGCGGTATAATCCTTGGTCATTTTGG